TTTTGATAGCCGGGCACCATCAGCTTTCTTCACCACATTTGCTTATTCGCCCGCTTTGTCTTCAGCGGTTGTGTCAGGAAGGTGAGCATCATAGAATGCCAATTTAATAGAAGAAGATATTCTTGAGTTGAGGGAGTACTTGAGTGGAGGCCCAATGTCCTTCTGCTAACTTAATACTAAACCTATAAATATAGGCTCACAGATCTATTTCCTCATCCTCATATAAACATATTTGCATATGCACATGCCTTTATCTAGACCTCTATAAATGCCCTTTTCCTCCCAGCTCTTTCCTCTATTTCCCTTGATTCTCCTCCTGTCCCACTATCATGCTTAGACCCCACCAGGATTTCAGCACTTCCTGTTTGTTGCATTCCCCTTGATCATGCCCTACCAGGCCTCCCACACAAATTGTTTTCATTAAAATGTTCCTATTATAATATATTCTGCTCTTATGTTTATATATATAACAGCTTTGAATGGGATTACCATAGAAACCAATCTGGGGCTAGCTACTTTTTAGATTACGATTTAATTCAATTAATAATTATCCTTTTAGAACAAAAGATACACCCTAAGTGTACATTTGTTTTGATAAAACCATAAATCAGGGATTGGAAATGCTTTAATCAGACTGTAGTTTCCCATCCACCATCCATAAACTAATTCCCGAATGACTTTTGAAAATGCAGTTCATTCATCACTTTCAAGCAACATAGCTACTCTTTAAGACTGAAATAGCCTTTGAGACGAAAGCCCTTATTCTAACAACTGTCTATTTAGCTGGGGGGAGAATCAGATAGATCCCAGTACTCAAATACAAACAGGAAATGTGAAAGGCATTTAGCCAATGAAAAAACAAACATCAGTATTTCCATTTTCAGAAATACACTCTTACTTCGGTAAGATGAAGAATTGTGTCCTTATAAAGTTGAATAATGCCTTCAACATTTTCCAAGAAATCCTCAGGCCTCTGAACTAGATGTTGGAGAACTTCTGCCATCAACTGCACTTCAGCAATAAATGCCTAAAATGGAAGAGAAAAGATTTTACATATCTTTAGGTCTATGATGATTAATTTGCAAGCCATATCCACGCCTCGTTATACCCACACGGCCTTTTGTATCAAGAAGCCAGGGGAGAAGGAAGTGAAATGACGTGCGATTTTGTTTTAGAGACACTAGTAGGTCACTATAAGAGGGAATAAAACTTTTGACCGGCTGGGGCATTTAAACTATTTCCTTTTACTTTTCCTTAGAAGATAAAGAATCGTTGAGAAGGAGGTCAGATTTTTAGAGACAAATGAAAGAAATTGGTTCCCCATGCCCCCACAAATTGCTAAGTTTGTAATTTGTTCATTTATTTGTTCATTCATTTATTGAGTGCTGACTATGTTCAGTCACTGTCCTAGAATAAGGGGACCAGACGTCCCGCTTTTGGCGGGACAGTCCCAATTTTTGGCGTTTTAAAAAAGTCCCAATTTTTGGAAAGAATGCACGACAAGCTAGGGAACGGTCTGTTTGGTCCATATAGACCAAATTTTTAATCAAGAACACCCCCGGTCAATGGTGTCCCGCTTTAAATCTGGTCACCTTATCCTAGAAGCTTGAGATTCAACAGCACAGCTGGGGAAGACAGATCATGAACGAGTAAACCATGAAAGATACAATATTACGTGGCGCTAAGTGCTAAGGGAAAATACTAAAGCTAGGTAGAGGCCAATGGAGAGGAGTAGGAAAAGGTGCTATTTATATCAGGGGGGCATGAAGCTTCCCTGAGGAAGTGAGAGAGAGGCACATGAATTATGCCTCGCATTTTATTGGTTCTCAGGCCGGCTTTCAGAGTCCTGGCCACATAGTGAGTGATCAGTAGCTCAATGTTGCTAGGAAGGGAGGCAGATTAGCTGTCAAGATGGAGAGGGATTTAGTCACTCATGAGGTTAAACTTGATGACTCCTAGATTATGATTTCATATTTCTTGAAAAAAATGAAAAGGTTTTGTTCATTTCCTCCAGATTCAATACAAGTGGAAAGGAAATGTAATTTTCTCTAGTTGCTGCTATTTGTTTGTGATCCTTGTTCACATTTCATTTCAAACGCACTCAGTCAAGGTAGACTTGTAGCGACCCTATAGGACAGGGTAGAACTGCCCCTGTGGGTTTCCCAGACTGGTGGTAGCTCTTTATGGGAGTAGAAAGCCCCCTCTTTGTCTCATGGAGTGCCTGGTGGTTTCAAACTGCTGACCTTATGGTTAGCAGCCCAAGAGCAAAATTCAGAAGTGTGGAAACCTGATCAGGTGTTTGGGCTGTGGAGTGCTAAGTACTCTGCTGCTGACCAAAAGGTCAGGGGTTCAAACTCAGCAGCCACTCCATAGGAGAAAGATGTAGCCGTCTTCTTTCATGTAGATTTGCACCCTATGCTCAGTCACTACGAGCCAGGATCGACATGATGGCAATGGGTTTGGTTTGGGTTGGTGTACTGACACGTTACCTCTTCTTCCTCTTGCTCTTCTTCCTCTTCTTCTTCTTCTCCTCCTTTCCCCTCCTTTTGGGGTTCTTTCTTCTTTTTCTTTCGACTTCCAATGAGTTCAGGATCCCACTGATCTCTTGGGTATAAGTACCCTGTAGTACTATGTTGTCTTTGCCCAGAAATTCTTTGGCATAAATCATAGTTGGGGCACTAAGGAGCAACATTATTAAATCACACACATCATTTTGAGTATATGCAAAATATTTATTTATATAAAATACAATGCATAAGCCCAAAAACCTCCTGGAAACCCTGAGTACACACAGTCCTGGGGTTTTTCATGGATGTAGTGCATGCCAAGAGAGGCAAGCGACACAATCCTTATGCCATGCCAACCCTGGCCCTTGTCTGATATTAGTATATGTGAGAAAGTATCCGTAGGCTGATGATGAGAAAGAGAGTTAGGAGAATGATAGAACAGCAAAACAGAAGAGAAAATCAGTGTAGCCTGGAAAGGTACACAGGCTTTGGTTGGATAGCAAAGAAGGGCTGATACTGGGGATTAAGGAGCACTGGTGGTATGGGGGGTACGCATTGGGCCAATCAACACAAGGCCAGCAGTTTGAACCCACCAGTTGCTCCGGGAGAAAGATTCGGAGTCTTGGAAACACATAGGGGCGGTCCTATTTGTCCTATAGGATCCTTATGAGTCAGAATTGACTTGATGGCATCCCCTGCATGTAAATATATAGTACATATAGGGAGCGCTCATGGTGTAATGGTTATGGGTTGAGCTGCTATTGAGCTGCTAACCTCAAGGTAATCAGTTTGAAACCACCAGCGAGCGGCTCCTTTGGGAGAAAGATAAGACTTTCTACTCCAGCAAAGAGTTTCAGCCTCAGAAACCTGCAGGGCAGTTCTACCCTGTCCTATAGGACTGCTATGGGTTGGATTCGACTGAATGGCAGTAAGAAATATATATTCTATAATTATAATATTTGAAATCATTTGCTGCTTAATTGATTTAAGTACTTCATAAAATACCAGTCTAAGAAGACTGCAAATATAATCTATTGTATAATCATGAGTCACTGAGGACCAACAATACTTTCAGCAAAATATGGTGTAATGTGATTTGCACATTGTGTACACACTATAGTATATACAGGCAGTCCCTGAATTATGAGTATATTTTATTCCTAAGTCTGTCTTTAAGTTGAATTTGTATACAAGTTAGAGCAGTTAGGTATGGGTCTATATACTATCAGTTACTCAAATGTTTGTCTTAGTATATAGTACAAGGGGGCTTTGAAAAGTTTGTGGAGGAATGGAATTAAAAGATAAAGGATTCCCCCC